CTTTTCAACCCAGGCCATTCTATGATTTTATGATATGATTCTTTGAAGTTCGTATATTGTAAGAGTACACACAGTTTAAACAATATCTTCAGAAATTGCATGCTTTTTCAACTGCTGACGATGTTTTCTTACACCAGTCTCTTGCTTACATAGATTTGATTAATGTTTTCATGCTGGACAAAACTAATAATTATTAAAATTATTGTGGTATTTTGATAAAGATTTTTTTTTGTCTGCAAAGCATTTGCATAGACAAGACCAGTTCTGAAAATGGAGAAGCTGCTCTAAGTTGCATACTATCAAACTGAGAAATGAGACTGCTGGAGGAATAGAGCAATGCTGGGTATGAAGTTGTAAAAGCAAGAACAGCAGTGCTGTAGGATATACATTCACTAGCAGCAGCATTAGAGGTTGGAGGCCACTAGAAGAAATTACAAAATGATAGGCTTGGAGTTAAAAACATCCACTCTGAGGTTTTCTGAGTAGTTTTCCATATAACTTTAAACCTAAATCCTTTTAAAAAATGGTGACAACTTAATTGTTTATGCTTTAGTATTTAGCTTGTTCTATTCTATCACATGAAGATTGAGATAAGCAAAAGTCTCTTCAGACTTGTGAAATACTACTTCATTAAAAAACATGTTGGTATGTACAAATGATATTAAGTTTCTCATAGGTAATAGTCAGTGAGAGGGAACATCTCAAGATATATTTACATTGAAACTGTAAGACTCTAATTGTATGCGTGAGGCTTTAATTAAAGAAAGAGCAGAACTGTCAGAAAATGTCCTGAGAGGAGAGTAGCGAAGTAGTAGCATGATCAGGTGAGCTGTATCTTTCAGGCATCTCTATAAAATGCTTCAGGGATAGATGTACGAGCAATCAATGCAGCATTTTCAGGTAGCTGCTTTTGGAATGTGCTCCATTTCATCTAACCTAGCAGATGAAACTTTTGAGGTGGAAATAGTGAGAAAATTTACATTCTCCTGAGAGAATAAACGTTTACGTTGGGAAATATAGCATTAATACTTCATAGACTGAATTCAGTCTATTTGATGTCCAAAGCACTGACTGGTGGAAATTTAGTGAGTTGTTGGACTGTGGCTAAACAATTCCAATTATTCAATTCCTATCCTAACAAACAGTCTTGCTAAAAATCTGCTCTTTCAAATAGCCTGTGAAGGTAATGCAAGTGACTGAAGCAATAGCCTTACTGTTCCAGGAAAGTGTTAATGAGCCTTATAAAAATTTAGCGAACAGCGCTTGATAGAAAAGACAATGTAAATTCTGGTTTCATAAAACTTTTTAAAAATAATTCATAGAATAAAACAAGAGTTAAGGCCTCTTCATGGCTGTAAGACAAAGTCAAATAGCACTATATCAACATAAAGAATATTGATTGTTTACCAAGTGATTAACCAGAATCAGGTTATAAAAATGGAGGTCAGTGTACGGCTTGCCAATCAATGTTACTAGCAGTGCAATAGTTTTCTGTCTCAGGGATTTCTATTAACTAGGAAAGCTGTGGTTCACACAGCAGGATATACAGACTGTACTGTAAATGTAACTCCATATTTTGAAGATGACTGTAATAGGCAAAGGTGCCACAGCACATTGATGACAGGAGATTCTGACAGGAGATTCTGACAGCTGATCAACTAATTTCACTCAGAATTTAGTTATTATAAGTCCTTCTAAGCTGTGTTACTGTGACAAGGATATACATTTTGGAATGCGTTGAAGACGAAAAACTGGAAACTCTTTTTATGCACTTGGTAGTGCATAGAAAATAATTCGTTTTTATTCTGAAAAGACACCTGAAGTGCACTGCATCTCAGGTAATTTTAAAATGCTTCCCAAGGAGACTCCACCAGACAAGCCAATTGTATAGACTAAGACAACAAATACGCAACAACCATCCATAACACAGTAGCTGCAAAGTGATAAGGCAACACCATTACTCTGCAAAATTCACTACACTATATTTTTTGCTTTTAGAGTCTTACTGTTTTCTTTACAAAGCTCCATGTATTTAATTGGTATGTTTATGAGCAGCAACATCTTTGGCATTTCCTTATGTGGTTGCTGAACAAATATTTAATTCTGGTGCTTCTCCCTCTTCTGTCTGCTGATGGACTGAATGCAGGATTGATGTGCTTTTATTTCCAGTTCTTGAAAAAGCCAATCTCCTCTTGCCACATCGGTGTGTTAAATACATCATAATAGAAAGGAAAAACTCCTTGTGAGAATGAGAGCATAGCAACTTGCTAGGCCTCAAGTTCTTAGTAATTCCATTCTGAGAAACTCCATATGGCTTGATAATATTCTTAAAAAATGGAAAAATACTTGGTATTTACTCCTTGATACTAACACGATAAGCAAACACCAAAAGCTTCAAAGGAAGAATATGAAATAAAGCTAACAAGAATGCTGAAGAAATATAAATTCTAAGTATTTCATTTATTCAAAGCAAGCTTTACTTTTCCTTTGAAACATCATCATTTATAATAGAATGTTTTCATGTAAAGCAGGGAAAAAAAAAAATCCTTTTTTAAACTTTTCCTCTTATTTTTCTTTATGTAGGTCTCACAGCCTAATATGCAGAAAAATATAACCACTTTGGAAAAATTTGTTTACATATTCTACTTCCTCCCAAATACTTTTCTAATCTTACTTGGATTATAATCACAATGGGAATTAACCCACATATCTCTTAACTGTCTGCAGTAAAGTGTTCAAAACTGGTCTGGTTGACCTGCATGTAGTGAAAATGCTTCAGTTAGCAAGCTAGAGGAAATTCTGTGGGTTGTGAGAAATATTTTTTCAAGACAAGTTAACTCCTGTAAGATTCAAAGGGAGAAAAGTAACTGAGATATGCAGGGATCCAGAAGATCTAAGCTTTGGCTCACATACCGGCTTACAAAAATAAAAATTTTTTGTGAATTGAAGTTTAATGAGTTAGAAATTTAACTACTGATTTTCTTGCTGGAAAACTTAGAAGCTTAAATCCTCCTTATCTGAAAAGAAAATTAGGAAGTGAGTTTTACAGAAGATGGTACTTGCATATCTAAGCTGCTTTATATTTGTGTAATGTCTACGTGCGTAAAATTTACTTTAAAGTAAATTTCTTGTCTAGGCATGACACTAGAAAAGAGGTGCAAGGATGGTAACTTGGAATGTTTGAGAGCTAGACAGTATTTAATGGATTTTAAGACACAGTATGTGTCTTAAATATAGGCTTCATTAAAATTTATTCAAATCTGTGCTCTCACAAAACAGATAATAAATTGTGAGCATCTGGATGTTTATTTAGAAGCGGTTTTGTTGCTATCATGCGTGAAAACCTATGAGGAAAAAAAGTGTGCAGGCACATACACCTTGCATTTCAATAGTCAGTGCTCTTGGCTGTAAAGGTAGAGACAATGAAATACTATGATTTCATATGAAGGCTTGACATCATTTTAAGTGAACATACCTGTTCAGGAGTTTGGGAATGTGAGAAAGAAGGAAAACTGACCGAAGCTCGGAAGGCGTCACCATATAGCCATGGTGAAAGACAAGGTTAAGAAAGCTATACTCACTGGTATTCAAAGCAGCTGTTTGTCTTTTGCCTTTCAGAGCTCACTAGCTTCACAGTATCTGGGGTAGTGACAATATAGACTGTCCTACTATAAACTAACTAAATGTAAGGACATTTTTCACTGCGTATGTTTTGCTAGTGCAAGTTGTCTCAGTCAACTGTGTACAGTTTATTTCAGAAGTTTGACAAGTTGATAGGTCTAAATGCAGTGAAACATGACAAAAGTGCTTCATTTCATGAGGCATCAAATGGAGCAGTGAAACTTTTTTTTTTTTCAAACCATTAACCAAACAATCTCACTTAAGTTAGCAGAAAACTTCAATTTATTTGGTTCTTTTCTTTTTTTTTTTTTTTTTTCTTTTTGGTACAAAAAAACCACAGCTGTATGTATTGTCATAACAAACAAATCCTTTGGTTAGTGGTTTTTAAATAGAGTGGGAATTCCTGGGACTTGTGCTGTTATCTGAACAGGAAGCCTGTGGCCTGTTGCAAGTGCTAGAAGTAGTGGTGACGCTGTTTACTGAGTTATGAGGTTATGAGGTTATCCAAGGGTGGAAGTTAAAAGTTTTGCTTGACGTCTGGGGCCTCAAAATGTTGGCTTTGCTTGTAAGTCAACCCTTTGTAGAATAACACAGTTCTCACTTTCACAGAGGAAAAGAGGCGGCTCTTTCCACAGTCAGTTTGGAAAATGAATAAAGATTAATACTCTAGACTGTCCAAACCTTCACGCAAGGCTTGAGGAAATCTTAGTCAGTGCAGTTAGAGCTTTTTAAATTGTAAATCTGCTTGGAAAGATTCTTGGGAGAGTCTAATAGAGGTGAGGAAAGAGTCCAGACTTTTGAAAATGATACAATGTGACCAATAAATGAAGGATAATAAATCCTTAGAACTTTAATTCAAAATGTGAAGTTTTACTTTGAATCCTTTCAGTGGCCTTTAGTGTAATAATTTCATTTATTTTGCATTTCTGGTTTTTATTTTAATTACAGTTGGGGTTTTTTAGGTGTGTTTTGTAACTACTCATGTCTTGGAAAGACTCAGAAATAAAACACGAAGTTTGGTTGATTAATTTTAGAAAATAGAAGATGAGAAATTCTTCTCTGATCTACTTTGTCATAAGTACATTTTAATGGATATGTCTGAGATACAGTAGTTCAGTTGGATGAGACCTTAAAAGATCATCTAGTCCTACTGCATGATGAGCATTTAAGGGCTACCCATAGCTTACACACACATACAAAATATATACACATATATATTCCTAATGCTCAATCTGAAACTCCCCTTGTGCAGCTTTATGCCATTCCTGTGAATCCTGCCATTGTTTCCGAGGGAGCAGAGCATGGCGTCTTTCTTTGCTTCTCCTCCTGAGGACATTGCAGAGCATAATGAAGTCACCTCTTGGTCTCCTTCCCTCCAGGCTGGATAAACCCAAGTGTCCTCAGCCTCTCCTCAGAGGAAGTACCCTCTCGCCCTTTTATCCGCTTTGTTGCCTACCTCTGCACACTTTCAAGGACCCAAACATCATTTTAAATTGTGGATTCCAGAACTGCATGTAGTTTTCAAGGTAAGGCTGCACCAAGACAGTGTTTTATTCATCCCGAGTAATTTGTACTGAGATTGCACTGTGTGTTTCACTAGTAACATTTTACTCTGGTTTAAGGAATAGATTTACTGAGGGGGAGGGATTATACAGTCTCTCTTGTCCTCCCACATGTGAGATGGATATATTCCCCATCACAAAATACAGCTGCACGCCTCTGCAGTTTTCCTTTTCCTTAGCCTTTGTACCTTTGACATTGTGGCTACATCTGTCTATAGACTGCAATCTCAAAGTACTATTAATAACTTCTTGCTGAATGATAGTTTTTAAAATCAGCATAGTCTATCTGTATTCCGACAACAGTCAAAGAATGGTCTTGGAGTTCTTTGGGAGAACTATTGCTGTCAGCTTCAGTGCTGGTGGTAAGGTCACCAAGGAGGTGATCTTAAATGACAATGTCGTGAACTTGCCAACTGATTCTTGCCAGCTTGCTGGGACTGTGGCCAAACCCTTCAATGTGATGGACAGGACAAGTACAGATGAAGCCTTTGCCTTGTTTGTAGCTAGAGAATAGCCATGATGAATAGAAATTACTTTAGAATTAGAAATATAGAAATTACTATAGAAAACTTATAAAAAAAAAAAATTGTAGCTTTATAGTACATCCAGAACTCCATTTTACTGAAGTAATTCATTAGGAAAAATTATGAACATACTCAGGAGATTTATTTACAGAATTTCAAATTTAATACAATGCTGAGATTCGAGCTACCCTCTCTTACTCTGGGCTTGTAATTTTCATTTATACTAAGGAGCTGTGTCTGTGCATGAATTGAAAATGCTTGTATTCCTAAACACTTATCTGCTGTATTCAGAAGTGTTCTTCTCTTTATGAATGATTTAATATTGAGATTATTCAAAATTACATGTGGCTTGATTTTAGCAAATAATGCCTATAATTATTTGATCATTATTTAGAAAACAAAAGTTAGAAAAAGTTGAATAAATAAATGACAGTCTTTTATACATGTAGGATCCTTGTTATCTTCCTTCTTACCTTGCAGTGTTTTGTTTCCTTATGTTGTGGAAGTCAGCTTACCTCTACGGTGTTTCTATTCTTACAGGAATTAACATTTTAGGGATTATTTATTATTTTTCTATACTGAGAAGCCATAAGACATTACACATCTGAAAGGATATAGAGGTCTCTTGTCCAAGTCATTGCTCAAAGAAAGGCGGTTATGAGCGCAGGCTACTTTATTTGCGTCTTTATCCAGATAGATTCAAAAAGCCTCCAAAGATGGAGACTGCAACTGTATACGTGAATATTCTAGTGACAGTAATTTCATCATGATAAATTCATACTCTGATACCTACAGGCTCCCCGGAAAAGTGCATCTCACAGGCTCTATCTTAAAGGTTCTTGACTGCTCTGAGGCAAGTTGGTGTGCAAGTGTTTAGAATTTACGTCTGTCAGTATTTCCCAGGTGTTACAGGTTATCTGTGTGAAATACTGGCTACTTTGCTTGGCTGTACTGAAATTAGAGGAATTAGACATCTTTATGCCCATTAAAGATCAGGTCAATTAGCATATGATAATACTTTTAGGTGAAGTACATGTAATATACGAAAGAGCTAAGCGATTGAATTGATTGGGTTTGGCACTTAAAAGCCAGGAGGAAGAAATGACTTTCTGATGTGCTTGATAAGGGCATATGGGGCATATTATACTTGACAAGAAAATGTCAGTAATATAATTAACAAATCAGATCTCACACATAAGATATTTATAAAATAAATTCACATTAATTCTTTTAATATTAAAAATGAGTCCAGTAATGATTACAAGCTCTGTCAGTAACTAATACAGCAACTATATAAGCTGTCTTTATATGTTTTATTCCTGCCAGAAGCAGCCTTGGTAGAAATATTTACATTTTTCAAAAGACAGCATTAAGTTCCTACTTTTGTGGGAACTTTATGGTAGCTTTTGTTCCCAGTGAATTGAGGAGCAGCAGAAATTATTACTTGCTCATTTCTAGAAAGTAAATGCCTGATTACATAGCAAAAATTGTAAGCTCTCATTTGGGTAAGTTCCAAAGCTAAATGTTTCAGTACTGGGTGTGCAAATCTTAGTCTATATATCTTCATTCTCATATTGCTTAATTTGATAGAGAAATAGATGAAACATCTGCCCTATATACAGTAAAGGAGTTCATGACTATTTGTTTTATAGGAAACTAAAAAAATCCTAGTAACAAAGAATGTTATTTATTTGGAAATAATAAAGATGAAAAAGGTCTCTTTGAGCCTCACTGGAAAGATACAGAGCAGCAATATAACATTCTAACTGTATTATCAGTACTAGACTTTATAGTGCATTGTTAGACTGGTCCTTGAAGTAAGCATGGATTTTCCAAATCTCTTTTTACTTTGAATTTTTGTAAGCATAACATTTAGCTCTTACATATTCATAAAGGAAACTGTGGTCGTCCTGAAAGTAAATAAAATTATGAAAAAAAAAATTTACAAGGAGAAGAAAGCAGGAAGGTAATCACTGTTATCTGAAACACATACTCTATGTTTCTCAGCAAATGTATTACTGAATAGAGTGGTCAGACATTAGCATTTTTAATGTCTCCTAACAGCATATGACAAATGTGTCATGAATAATTAGATAATGCTAACTACCGAACAGTGCTTAATTCACTTACCTGCTGGTACATTTGCCCTTTCTATCTGACAGCTCAAGCTGAATAAATGCTATCTTTGGGCTCTGAACCACCAGCTGCACAGGGCAGCAAGGTCAGTTTCTCATATCACACAGTGAAAGCTTTTAATGCTGAATAGCAATGCAGCCCTCGAGTCTACTGTTTGAATGGAACTGCTTAGTGTTGTGAACTGGTACAGGACTTTGCACACTGAATAGATGGTATACTTAAAATCATGATTTCAATATTGGTGACCACATGAATTAATATCAACGAAAAGTTCACAGGAAACGAGTTTCTTGAAATAGACATCTGTGTATATATGTATGTCAAGAATGTTTTTCTCATATGTTAAATCAAACAATGGCCAAGTCCTCACCTAATGAAAACTTTAAAACAAAAAATCTCTGCTATTTTCTGCTACCTATAGACTAATGATTTGGAAGTTGACTTTATGGTTCGATTTGAACTTCAGATCATTAATCATAGAATCATAGAATCACCAAGGTTGGAAAAGACCTCCAAAATCATCTAGTCCAACCATCCACCTACCACCAATACTTCCCCACTAAACAATGTCCCTCAGTACATCTAAATGTTTCTTGAACACCTCCAGGGATGGTGACTCAATCACCTCCCTGGACAGCCTGTTCCAGAACCCAATCACTCAGAGAAGAAATACTTCCTAATATCCAACTTAAGCTTCACCTGGCACAATTTGGGCCATTCCCTCTCATCCTATTGCTGTTACCTGGGAGAAAAGACCAATCTCCATCTCAGTAAAACTTCCTTTCAAGAAGTTGTAGAAATCTTTAAGGTCTCCTCTGAGCCTCCTCTTCTTCAGACTGAACAACCCCAGTTCCCTCACTCTTTCGTTTAAGACTTGTGTTCTGGACTCCTCACCAGCTAAGTTGCTCTTCTCTGGTCATGCTTCAGGGCCTCCATGTCCTTCTTGTAGTGAGGGGCCCAAAACTGAACAAGGTACTCACTGTGATGCCTCATCAGAGCTGAATACAGAGCTATATTAAAGCCCACAGACTCCTTTAAAAATGTTGATGGACCTGTAGTGGGTGTGTCTGTATTTTTAGGGATTTCACTGCATTTGTTTTAATTTGTAAGTTGGATTTACAATGTTATGCTGGCTAATTATTCACACACTTTTAAGCTGTTTTATTGGCTAGAGCCAACAAAATCAAATTTACAATTGCAAGAAAATTGATTACATTAGCAACCTTTGCCAATGTTATCAACAATTAACATTTTAACAGAAAATGGTATTGCGGGAAGGGCCAAGACCCTACTCCAAATTCCACTCAAATCAATGGAAGCTTTCACACTGACTGCAGTGTACCTAAAGGTCCTACTCTAAAGCTCAAGTTTTCATACTGGAAGGCTGCTCAGTGCCTATGATTGACCACTGAACAAATGAAACTGGAAAGAAACTTTATCTTCTAATGGGCAATAATATTTTAAGTATTAGGAGGTGGAAACATTTTGCTCTAAAGAGAATAAAGATGAGAGAAAAAGATTTTTATACAAATAGGTAAATTTGATGGTATTAAAAAAAAAACCAAAAAACAGCATCTAAGTATTACTGCTATCTGGATCACCCATGCTTAAGCAGAAAACCAATTAACATCACTTTTATCTATTTTTACCCTAGCTTTCTTAAAACAACTCCTTTTTTTTCTTGTAATGTCAACTCTTAAGCATTGGAGAAAAAGATGCATGGAGAGCAACATTACCAACATGAACAAATAGCAGTTGGACAAGAAAAGGAACAATTAAATTTTTCTATGATTCCATTTGTTTGCCATAATCAAAGGGAAAAAATGGGGAAAAAGCAGCTAGAGAGAAAGAAATGAAAATACTAATGAGATTGTAGATGCTTTTGACAGCAGAATGTTACAATGAATAGCGCAAACAAGACTGAATGGAAATGAAGGCTGATAAATCAGGAAAAAAGGAGAGAAATTAGATATCAGAGTCTTCCTCATAAAGATGGCGATAGAGGTTTTATGATGTCTTTTCACATTTTCCAAATTTGTGAGAAAGTATTTCATAATCATTCTTGAAGTTAAAGTCTAACTTAAAGCTCAGTGAAGCTGATCCAGTTTTAGGTCATTTTTCTTTTATAAAGCTGAATGTTAAATTCTGCCCTTCTCAGCTTGTACTATCTACGTCTGTTCATTGCTTATAAGTAAAAATGCTTTGTGTATCTGCTTGAAAGATGCATTTTGAAGATGAGATGGGAGATTTTGCACCTAAACTGAGCAAGAGGGAATTTGGGAATTTAAGAATCTCTGAAATGTGCTTCTCTGCTGTGCTTTTTGCTATTGAGATCCAGTACAGTTGTTTCTCTTTGTGGGAGGAGGTGCATAATTAAAGAAAATGCAGTGTCTTTGGTGAAATGGATGCTGATGTGTCGTGGGAGGAGGTGATTGTTGGGGAGGAATGAACAATGTGTTGCATTTAGTTCTTTTGGTCACACTGGTGTCTTTTTGTTGGGAGACAAATGGTAGAAAATGGTGAGTTTAGAGAAGTTCAGGAAGATGCATCAACATCAGGTTCAGCATTCCAGGAAGGAGAGAGAAACATATTTGTGTAAAAGACTACTAAATCAGAAAAAAATAATGATCTGTAGGTAATGGTGGATACCTGGGCATTTATGCTGATGGTTTTATACTCTCTCTCTCTCTCTCTATATATATATGCATATATGTATATTGTATAAATATATATGATAATATATATACAATATATGTCGCATAAAACTATATGAATGTATATATATGTGTGTGTATATATATATACACGTAAGTAATTTTTGTCATTTTCTCTCTGCTCATCTTGAACCTTATTGTTGTAAAAGACAGTTCTTTATCTTCCTAATTTCATGGTGATCATATCTCAATACTTAATCCTTACTTAATACTTTTAGTGCCCAGAGCAAAAGAGCACGGTCACTATCTTGTTGCATGTGTGGACTATACCTAAAGCATTGATCACATAATCAAAGCCAGTACATACTACTGTAACACTGAGGAAATATTAGTAAGTACAGGAGGATCAGGCCCATTGTAAATCAAGTTCTGATCCAGATTGTGATTGCTCATGGTTTTCATTGTCATCATTATCTGGAACATAACTTTTAATGTATGTTCTAACCACAGTGAATGCTTCAAAATCGTACAGTCCAGTAACCATTAGATTGGGTATTAGATTGGGTAGATTGGGATTTATGTGAACCAACTATTCCTTTTTCACATAGGACCAAACTGGATGGTATGTGGGCAATCATTTCATTAAAGGTTATTAGTAGGAGTACTTCATTGGGGGGTTGGACTCGATGATCTCTGGAGGTCCCTTCCAACCCCTACAATTCTGTGATTCTGTGATTCATTTAAAGCTTAAGATCCTTTGCCTACACTACTTACAGAATATATAACTGGAAGGCAAGATTTCTTTCTTTCCAAACAACTGCTACTGCTCTTTTCTGTTCAGATATGTGCCTGCTAGTCAACTTGCTATGTTGTTTTTCATATCCCTGACTCTTTTGTAGGATTTCATTATCATTTGGATTTCCAGACTGCTCTCTATCTCTTATGATTGGCAGCAACCATGTTATTTTCTTTTCACCGTGTAGAGATATTCTTCCTTTTTTCGATAGTGCAAAATGATGAAAGAGTTTTAAGACTGTGTGATCAGTGTCATAAATATCTAAACATATTTGTTTTATTTACCAAGCAAGTACTGGGTTCTTACCAGATTTGTCTTTCATTTCTTTGTTTTCTGACACATATTGTGCTATTGTTAAAACTTCTTGGCAGTAGGAAAGAACTCATGCCTGTGGCTAAATGGAAAAGTGTTGCTGTCTTTTCACTGTATTCACAATACATTTGCTATGCTGTTCACCTTACAGCTCTTAGTATTGAGTGAAATGCACTCTTCACTCTTTAATCAGACATGATACCTCATTGTAATTGTAGATCTGCAGCCAAAAAAAAAAAAAAAAAAGCCTGAAGAATACTTGTAATATAACTGTAATATGTTCCAAGATGATCAATGATGGCTCAGTATTTAAGTTATTATGGAGTGGAGAGGTTCCATACCTACACCACACAGAATCTCAAACTTTGCAGTTGGAATGGAAATACTACTGTGGAATCTCTTGCAAGTTTTGAAGATCACCAATTCCTTTTCTATGTAAATGCATTACACATTGTACATGGACAATCATGCATTTTAGTTCAAATAAGATGAATATATCCTAAATATGTTGCATAAAAACTATATTTGGGGCCTCCAAAATTAATTTTACTAAGGAGTTTTAAATGTGAGAAGTTTGGCTTGTCAAGTAGCCGAGTCACCAAATGATAATCTTTTCTGTACAATGGTCTGGGTGAACAAAAGCAAGGTATTTGCACTTTGAGTGAGTTGAGATTTGAGGGAAAAAAAAGGCTGATTAGTAGTTAAGAAAATATACTTTGTCTTCTATATTTGAGTGCTGTGCTAGGAAGTTTCTTAGAATTATGGAACTGCTAAATGTACAAAATCTATTATATAAAAAGTAGATATTGATTTTTTCGTAATTGTTGCATTCTGCTACCAAGATTGTTAGTTTCAGTTAAACTATAACTTTTTGTTTGAGAGAAATATAATAACTTTTTGTTTGAGAGAAACATAGATCAAATATACTGCTCTCAGAGCATGGGAATGGCAGTTGAAGGCAAACAGAAGAACAAACAATTGTTCAGTTTTTATTTTGCTGTGAGTATTCACAGTTGCATTTTGACACAAGATTAGATCATGAATACATAAAAAATATGTGTTTCTATGCCAGGATAAAACATAACTCAAGATCACAAGCATCAAACTTTTTTTTAACGAATTAACATTCCTCATTTGTTTTCATTTATTTAAAGAACATTGAGGTTATGACCAGCAGACATTTAAGTAATGACAGTTGTATCTTAATTTTACTAATGTCTTAAACACAAGCGTACACTACCTATAATCAAAGAAAACAGGCGTTGAACCCCCCTTAATAAAATTGTGTTGTTTGCATTTCCGAACCACTGTTAATTCCAAAGCTTTGCAAACCTACTGTCATCAGGGTTAGTGTTCTCCTTAGAAAATTATTTTGGGAGAAACACAAATTCACATCAACCATTTTGCTTTGGATAGCAGAATGCATCTCAGATTTTCTTTTCAGAGCAGCCTCCATTGGAATAAATGGGCAGATGTCTCTTGGGTAAGAAATCAGAGAAAAGGAATAGGAAAATGTAAACATTGAAACTGTCAATGACGTGGAGGGAAGGATACTCAGAGAGCTGGGGAAAAGGAAAACAAGAAGAAATAATTCCTCAGTTCTTGGTTCAGTGATGCTATTTGGAGAAAAGTTCACTATAGAAGTACATTTTCCATGTAGTTTAGAAGAGTCTAAAAAGATTCTTCTAAGGAGCATTTGAAGATACAGTTGGTGCTGCTTGAATATTGCTGACTAAATCTTTTCTCCTGAAAATGAGAGCAGTAGGCACTGACGGTTTCCAAGAACTGAAAAATCACCCATTGTTTAATTAAAATCTTACCTGTTTGATCTTGGACTAACAGATAATTAAAATCTCTGTCATTATTCATAACTGAATGGTGATTATATAAAAATATACATATACAAATTTCAGCTCACTGTAGTCAGTTAATCATAGAAGGAATTTGAAAACTTGGAGGTGAGGGGTTCTAACTTGATTTTTCCTTTATTTTCTTACCTTTGATTCTTCTATGAACATACTTTGAATTTTGAAATGTTGTTGAAAGGGTGGCTTAGCTGACGTGATAGTTTGTGAGAGCAGAACGGTTTTAAAAATTGCTTTGTAGAGGATCTTTCAGTGAAATCACATGACTAAACATCATGGAGATTAATTGCCAATATTTCTTGGAGAGCAGTGCTGCCATGCTTTTGCAGATGCACCTGCAGAAGTTAATGGTGCACGTATAGCATTACATTAAAGTGCTGTAGATTTTTATTATGAACGTAGCAGAAAATGAACAAACCTTGATTAATATGGGCACATTTGCTGACAACCCTGTGCACTCCTAATGAAATAATGATCTGTTACTTGCTGTTTCCTGCACCTTCTCTCTTGTCTGTTTCTGTGTGGCATCGAGTGTGGTTTACTCTATGGACTTACTAGTTGCTTCTCTAAGAAATGTAGTGGTCGAGCTCTAGCTTTGTGCTTGTTTCCCATTATTTTCCTTTTTACTCTTTAAAAGATCAGTGATGCCATTTATACAGTTCACGTTTCTTTTCTTTACTCAAGTTGACCTGTTCTTCTTATGTTTACAGTAATCCAACAAAAAACATTGATTGCACAAACTCAGAAGGTCCTCTGTGACATGAATTTGCCAGCTGAAGTTTTGTCCTGATATTTTAAATGTCTAAAATACATAGATAACAGAACAGAACAAATAGTAGCTGGTCTGTGAAGGAGTATATGTAGCACAGAGAATATAGCTCAGATAAACCCCTAAATCTCTCTTGCTGGGACCAACAACAGTGAAATCCAAGAGCCCTTAAGTTCATAAGGCACTAATCTCTCGCTGATCTTGAAGCACAGTGGGATACATTTACTTGACTGTTCTGAATACTAGTTAAATAGTTGAAAAAGAGAAAACTTCCTTATTGCAACATGCCACACAGCAAACACAGCCCTAAAACTTGAGTTAGAGGCAAAGAACTCTTAGGGCAAAAAAATATATTTTAATTTTGCAGAAATATCTTTGGCCCACAGAGTCCAGATTGGAGAAGATCCAGCCCAAAAGGGCAACAAAAAGGTGAATAACTTCACAAGGTAAGTCTGAATGAAATCACTAGTAGATTTAGTTTTCATTTCATTTGAAAATCTCTCATAAAGAATCAAGTATCGAAGCAAGGATCTTCAGACCTTAAAGTCCAACTAGTCATAGCTATGGGACTGTATACGACAGCTGTTTCTTCTAGTAATTCATATCAGGCACCACAAATGAAGAATAAAACCTTATCTAAGAGTTCTTATTTCACGTTGTCGTTAGACTTTCAATCTATTATTAATATGGGGCAGGATGATTTAAAATCAGCATTAAAATGCATGTAAAGAGTAAAACATGTCTAAGCACATTAGCTAGAACTAGGCACTTAAGTTAAAATTTGACCTGCTTGATATGTTTCTGTCCATATGTGCTGTGTTTGGATCCCATAGCACATTGTGGTGTGTGTTATTTCACATAAAATAAAAACAGACTACGAGTGCATTGTAGCATTAAGATCTGAAATTGTCTGTAGATCTGATGGCTTTTCAAAACTTTAGGACAGTATAATGCTAATTTTAATTGCTTTGCAATTAAGTAGTTTCTTTGAAAGCTTCTTCCTTTTTAATAAATCTGTAGCACAGCTCTCAGAGGCTCAAGAAAAAGTGCTTCATGGCCTTTTCCTTGTCCTCAGAATTTTCATGCGTAAATGTAAGTCTGCATCAATTGTATCATCTCCAGTCTAATTACCTCATTTACATATTTCATGCTTACTGCTCAGAACGCTCTGTGGGACACTGATGATTTAAATTGTGTGCTGTCAGACACAACCAGTTAAGGGGGATGCATTTTTATTTTATTATATTATTATTAAGATTTGCACAGTACATTTGCTATTAAGCAAATAATATGTAGTGCTTCATATAAAATAGTATGTTTAAGAGTACTTGCAAAACCAGACTTTTAGAATTTAAAATTTGCTGAAGTTAGGGTGCTTGTATCATCTGTTCTCCTCTCCCTGTTCTATTGCTCCTTACTGCATTTTGGGAGCCTCGGATTAATGAACTCTTTTTTTCTTTTTCCCCCCATTTCAGTTTGGGTAATAAACTCTCACTTTCCTATCAGTTACATTTTTGAGATGATGCATCATAGAACTAGAAAATTGCATACAATAGAATAGCACATAACCTATAAAACATTGAACTGGTGGAGAATATTAACAGTGTACAAGTAATACAGTGAGTTCTCATAGCTATAGGTCAGTCATACCTAATTAAAGATGTAACTTGGCACCCTTCACAGTTGGATGCCTTAGGAGATAGAATACTTGAAATTTGACTCCGCATATAAATTTCAGCCTGAGTTTGGGACCCTTGATAGCACCTAGATACCTGGTACAAATCTCCCTTTAAAAGAAGGTGACTTCTTGAAGTTTCCAGATAAGCAGGAACTTAACTGTGATATCCCCTTAAGATTAGGCATCTTTGTGCCCACAGGGCACGTAGGCTGCTTTCTTGCAGATCCTCTGTTGAAAGGCAGAAAGTCTGGTAATCTGCTCCTTGCAGGCAATGTCACTCCTGCACATTCTGCTTTACAGGCTTCTGTTGAGTGAGTTATTTTACATGCAGAATGCAGAAATGTCATGGTTCACTGACTAATGGCTTGTAGCCTACTTGCTTGTGTAGCAAAATTAATTTGCTATAGGATGAACCAAATGAGTGCTCCAGACAGGCAGGATGTGTGTCCTTTCAATGGCTGAAATGAACAGTTACCCTAGTTAGTACTGACCTTATTCCTGCTGAAGGGCAGCTTAGTATTGTTCTTTCATTTGAGGAAAGATATTGCCACTCTTGCTCTCCTAAGTACTGCTAAAGAATAGCAGAATATGGCTTGTAATAAAGTGTAGAGCTCCACAGAAATGTGATCCTTTCAGGTCCTGTTCTCTCCTGAATTGTATCTTCAGTCATTTTGAGTACAAACTTTCTTTATAGTTTACACCTGCCCTGTAAAAAATACTTTAAATGAACAAGAACTTGCTGAGATCATCTGTTTACAGATATCACACGTGGATTGCTGTCCATCAAAAGAAAACTGCAGATTCACACATAAGGCTGAGATCTGTATGCAAAGCTTTGAAACCAATAGGCATATACCTGAAGCCACTGCACGTAAGAGGCCTGCTGTTAGAGTGCATATTTTGTCTGCAGCCTGAAGAGTTGTACAAAACAGCATCAGTCTGAACAGTAGAGGTAATTAAAAAAAAAAAAAAAAAAAAAAGAGCAGGAGAAGATTTTCTAAAATGTAATTCATAAAAATTTTGGAAACTTTTCTTCTTTACTCTTGTCAGCAGTACGTAATGCCTTATACTGCTCAAGAAGACAGAGAGAGTACTTGACTTCTTTTTAGTGCCCTCAAGATTCAAGGTGTGTGGAGTTGAAGTATTTCACTGTAGTGCTCATTTATGGTACCTTTGGATACAGCAGTTTTTTAACATCAAGCAAAAAAAAAGTGATGAAATACAAATATCAAATACCTCAAAGCAAGATTACTATAACCACCGAGTTAATAACATCACAAAATGATGCTTACTACCTCAGCTATTGAATTCTGTGTTAGTACTGTTCCACACACAGAGGAGCTGATATTGTGTTCATTCCAAGACAAATGAAAACATTAAACACAAAGTCACAAAGCTAACTCTAATCTAGGCATATTTCTTTTAACATCCATAGGGTCTTAATAGCTACATCGTGCATTACTTCTGGTGTTCACTGTTCCAGCAGTTCTACCCACACAGACCCATTTTCTCCATCTGCATTTTAACCTCGCAGTTGTTTTATTCAGGCTTCTGTGATCAGTAATTTTTGTCAAGAAAGAAACAAGTTACCAGAGCCTAATGGCTTTGACTTTAAATGTCCTGTTTAAGTACAGTGTCCTAGGCAGTTATGCTGCTCTGTGAGCATTTTTGGCAACATTAAGACAGAAAAATTCATCTAGGAATAGCAGTAAAAGGGTAACTGTTTTCAAATAGAATTTGTAAATTTAATTATTTAAATCTACAAAAGGTTCTCACTATCTTGATAAATTAAAATTTCTATATTTCAGTTTACCTTAGTTTATTCTATATTTTAGTTGCTAGACTTCACTTACAAAAATAATTCCACTTTCTGTAGGATATTTTTCTATAACAGTATGAGCCAAGTTGATGGAGGATTTTTATGAGCATAATTAGTTGTAAATCTTAAATGCCAATGTAAACATCTTTTGAAATTATTTAACATGTTTTTGGATATGTGAAGCATGCCAGGATTCCATCTGTAGTCCTAGATGTACAGGAAGTTATATTCATGACACTGAGTGCTTCCAAACAGCAAAGCAGTGCTTTTTCTTCTTGGTTGTTTTTTTTGTTTGTTTGTTTGTTTTTTGTTTTTTGTTTTTTGTTTTAATCAAGGTATCAAATCTCCAGATCCTTAATTAATTCATAAAGTATTCAGATAGTTACCATTTAAGTGAGTGGAAATTAAGTATTGATAATGATGTTAAAGTTGGCCTGGTACTGTCTACCCTTCTCCCAGAGGAGGCGAATACTTAATCCCTATTGCGGTTTTGAAGAGGCAAACTCAGAATTGCTTGCCATTAACTCAGACTTCTTAGAATTTAATAGTAAATCTTATATCGATTTTTGCATGGTCTAATTAGGTCAGTTCTGAAGCTCCAAGAATCTAAACTGGATAATTCATAGTTATACTCTAAAATGCCCTTCAATATGTTCCAAAATAAGTAAGAAATCCATCAGTCTCCCAAATAAAATTATTCCTGAAGCTGGATCCACTTAGCTTTGTTAAACAATTTTGGTAATCCACAGTTTTGCTGTTGGTTCAAAGTTAGGGATCCCTGAAGTGAATTTAGAGAAGAGAGATTTAGATTAGGTCCTGAGGTGCTATGCTCTGCTAGCTTTGAAGAAAATTGTAATTACTCCCATTTTAAAAGAGCATATTATCATACTGAGCAACTGAGTAAAATTACATTGCTTTCAAGAAGAGCTTTTTAAAATAGGTGCTGAGATACCGTAGTAATGATGAGCTTAGTAAAAACGCTTAGACAAAACGTGATCTGATAAAAACGAAATGTGGCACAAGACTAATTGATAAAACTTCCTCGTTAACTGAGACTATTTGTAGCTTGTCAAGTATAAAGCTGCTCAGATCAATTCTTTGTAATTGAATTTCAGAGGAATATTAACTTAGTCTGTTGTAGTAATGAATTTAGTAGATTGTCTGCATGTTTTGCGTATATCTTCCAAATTAAAATTAAGTAAATATATGGCTAAGGCATTTCACAAATGTTGCTTTAGTTATTATATTAAAAAATTGAACTTTTCTCTAATTTGCTTCCTACTTAAAAGTCATTTAAAAGCTTAAGTGAGCTTGAAAATCTAGGAACCACCAGCTGCTGGAAGGGAGATGTATGGAGTAGGACCTGGGTGTTCTGGTTGGACAATTGGTTGGCCATAAGCTAGCAGTATGCCCTCGTGGCCAAGAAGGCCAGTGGTATTTTCAGGTACATTAAAAAGTGCATGGCCAGTAGGTCTAGGGAGGTTCTCCTTCCCCTCCTCTCTGCCCTGATGAGGGCACATCTGGAGTGCTGTGTCCAGTTCTGGACTCCTCAGTTCAAGACAGTGAACTTCTAGTGAGAGCCCAACAGAAGGCTACAAAAATGATTAGGGACCAGAGGCATCTTAAAGAGACAGAGAGACCTGGGTTTGTTAACCCAGACAGGAGAAGTCTAAAAGAGCATCTCAGCCATATTTATAAAAACTAAAGTGCAGGAGATAAGTGGATGGGTTCAGACTCTTTTCAGTGGTGCGGGGACTGAGCAAGGGGCAACAGGCAAAAACTGGAACAAAGGAAGTTCCTTGCAAACATGAGAAAGAACTTTGTTATGTTGAGAGAGGTAGAGCCCTGAAACAGACTTCCCAGAGATGTTGTGGAGTCTACATCTTGGAGACACTGAAAACCCACCTTGATGCTTTCCTGTTCAACCTATCGTAGGTAACCTGCTTCAGCAAGGGGTTGGAATAGATGACCTCTAGAGATCCCTTCAGGCCTCTGTGATTCTGTGATTTAGTGTGATTCTGTGTATGTGTTGACCTGTTCGTTCTGAAATTGAAATTACTTTGCCTACTAATGCTTTTCTACTGTTCACTTGGAGGGTTTTTTAATGATATTTACTCCATTTTTCAAACTTAAATGAATCTACACATTTAGTTTATACCTGAAATACAGAACTTGTATAAGCAATAGAAATTTTATTGCTTTCCTGTAAAGCAGTCTTCAGTTTATTATAACTCTGTGGCAACTCAGTTTATTATAACTCTGTGGCTTGCTATAGTGCTGCTCCTAAGACTCAAATGTGTAGTGCATAAGGGACTTTTAATGAGCATTCAAGATTCTAATGCTTGCTAATGTCCTTACTTGCTATTAATTCATAAATATCCCCTTGAAAATGATAGCTGTTTCTCATACATGCATTAAACGTTGCTTCTAGGTGTGTATATGAGCAAATTCACTTCTCTATGATGTCTAAGAAAATAGTGTTTGTGAGATTTGTATCTTTTTAAGATGTCCCTGGGGTTCCCGTAATGATTTTGCCTCCCTTGTAATATCTGCTGCAGAGCCAAAATATGGCAAAGAAATTTCAGACATCCGCTGGAACAAGCATATCACAGTGTCTGAATTAAGGAGCTTTTTTATATTAAGAGCATATTTTATATAAAAATAATATGAAAGCCAAAGGATGGAAATTGAGGAATTTGATTATTTTTCCCAGTGTAAGAAGTGGCTATAAAGGATATTTTGTCTCTTATTATTGTCTCTTACTACTGACAGCATTTTTACCACTGTAAATGAGTAGTATTATCTTGAATAATGCTTATTTTTCTGTGATTTCTGTAGTACAAGATTTATATGTAAAATCTAATCTTGTTCAAATATTCCTATATCTGGACTACTATCAGTACCTCTAGAACAGGAAGGAAAAAACAACAACAACAACAACAACAACAACAAAAAAGCACCTAAATAATTCATGTGACATAAGAAAAGACAAAAGGTAATTGAAATTGATGTTTAGTTGTCTGGGTGATGAAGTGGAACAAATTTCTTGTCTGTATTATCACTGAGAGGAATCTGGGGCCTTTGTGGTTAACCACCCATTCTGCATGAGGAACATGTGGCTCCTTCAGAAAGGCTCTAAGGGCTGAGCAGGTTTCCTCCCGGATGTTCCTCTCTACTTAATTGCATTGTGGGTGACATTTGTGGTCAGCAAGCCTTGAAAGAAACCTCATTTTAGCTCTCTATAGGTAAAATCAATACAATTTGTTTTGCAGCATCTTTTCTTTGCTGTTACGCACTGCAGTGTAGGATTCAATTTTGGGGAATTTTTTTTAAGTGATTGAAGTTCTACCTAGTAGAATGTAGTAGATCTACTATGATTGCTGGCTTCATAAAAGCATCCTCAAGTTGTTGTACACAAAGTTGTTAGGCTTTTTAAGCATTTGGTGAAAGATGAAAGCTGATCCCATATTTTGCAGCGCTATTTTTCTAACTGTGCTCTTGCCTGAGTAGCTGTGAAAGCTGTCTATGATTGTTTTCTTAAGTAAATAAAATATGCTTAAGTAATAACTATAAGCAAGAGAGGGGAGGTTTTTGTCATCTATAACTGCTGTTTCTTTAAGAATTTACAGTTTGAAATTTAGACTGGTTTTGTTCCCAGGTGCAACTGTCCAGTCACATTTTAGGATTCTCTGTGCTGTGTGCAGTAAGGCAAAACTGTGAGTTCTGTGGTGCTTAATCAAGAGTAGGTAGTGCCCGAGCCCTTTGAAAGAGGCAGAGTGAGAGGCAGGCTGTGAGGGGAAGGGCTTCAAGCCCTCAGACAATATTACAAAGGCAAACAGGAAAGCTTTGATTAAAATAAATAAATAAATAAATAAATAAATAAAATAAAAATGCCACTTGCACTGCTGCTCTGAGACTGTTCTGAGCTGTTCTGTTGCTGTTACTTCAGTGGAATTTGAACAATGTGGAAATAGAACTTTTCATGTTTTAATATTTCATGTGGAGTTTCTTCAGTACTTCATTGTGAAATATAGACTATAGAATTATAGAAGTAATAGGAAAAATATGTCTAGCCTTATAGCCTTCAAAGAAAAATATTTCAAAATCTATCAAAAGCATTTTAGATCAGCTGAAAATTCGTGCATTTGTAAGGAAATTACAGAACTTTATGGCTTTTTTTTCTTTTTCTTGGGGGTGTGTGTGTGTCAGGGGAGAGTCAGGCTGGTTGTCAGGAAAAAGTTCTGCACCAGAGGGTCGTGGGCATGGAATAGTCTGTCCAGGGCAATGACCACAGCGCTACACTGCTGGAGATTGAACAGTGGTATGGATTTTGGGTGATCCTGTACGCAGCCTGGAGTCAGACTGGATGATCCTTGTGGATCCCTTCGAACTTGTGATATTCTATGATCCCGTGACTCAGTCAATTCTAGTTTTGCCATGTGAATGCGTACTTCACATGCATTATTTCAGACAATTTTGGCAACAGTTAACATTTCCTATATGCTTCGCTGCAGAAAAATGGGCTAAATCACTAATCTAAAAATGGTAGATTGTGAAATAATCTAGATTGAATAAGAATCCTTTAACAGATTTTTTATGAACTGGCAAGGTTAAGTCATAGCAACAATGGTTTTTGCAGGTTGTTGCAGGCCTCCAGTGTCTGCCTGAGTAGCTGAGTGAAAAGAGTTGTGCCTCCGCACACAGATCTGTTGCACTCACCTATGGCACCTCAGCCCATTCTACCCCTGCATGACTTTGCCATGCCAGCGTCTGAATCTTTCCAGTTGAGATGCTTCTATGATTTATAACAAAAAATAAAGGACCGAATGTTTGCTGGAAAAATGTTTGGCAAACAAAAGCAAAGGATTATTCTGAGCAGGACAGAAGTGTCCATCTCTGGTAGATAGCCTGATCAGAATTTGTCACCAGTGCAAGTAATGCTACCACTTCTCTATACCACTCTGAACAAGGGGAAATGCTTTCTAGAGTGAAATTCTGCAATCTGTCAGCCTTTGCTAGCTATCTGTAAGTAATTATCACAGTCCCACTGAGAACACACAGGATCTGTGGTGTAGCAGTAGAAACAGAGATAAGATGATGATGTGCAGATTTGATAGAAAACCCGCATAGAGTTTCTAAGAGTAGGATCAAGCAGCTGTTTCTTTGTAGATATTACATAAAGTGCTGCAGCAATAACTTCTGAATTTTTATTCTTCACTTCTCATTGTACTGCTCACAGAAAGTTTGAGAAAAACAAAACCAGTTTCTCACTGGCTATCCATTTATTGCAAATCCTTATGGCTCACCAAGATTTTGTAATAATAATTATTCACCATGAGATTTTTTTCCCCTCGGTTGTATTTCAGTTTTCTGCATTAGACTCAAGTGATATTACATGACACAAGTGATTGAATTCACTGATAATTTACTTCTGAAAGCAGGATCGTGGAGATTACAAATGAACTGAACAATCACATTGTTATAGTAAGGAATGAAGTATATTATAACATCATTTGTATGAGATGAAAATTCTGGAAGTGAAAGTATTATGCTGCAAATTAAAAAGCTATTATCAGGGTAGGAACTGGTACTAAATTAAATAGTTTGCATTTTGGAGGGACATGAAGTGATCTGAAATGTGTGACTTGAAGTCCCAACTTTGGAACAGTTTCACATTATTCAGTTTCCCACTTTCAGCACAGAACACAAGCACATACACTTAATGTAGATTTAATAAAATAGAGAATAGTGACTAAAGGAATATATTGTCATTAGTATTAATGAAAAAAAGAAGTGGATGGCTCCAGGTTAAACAAGGATTCTATTCTATGTTGTTCACATCATCTATTTTTACCGCAACAACTCAGCTGATATGTCACAGCTCTGCAGTCTGTTTGATGGGAGAAATGCACAGATGGAACTACAGTTCTAAGTACCATCTAAATGATATTTAGTCTTGACAGTGTCCTGTTGTGAAGCAGCGCACAAGGAAACTCAACGCCCTCCCTGAAATTACTGACTACTGGTGGCCCTGATTTCTGAGTACCCACGTTAAAATTTCTAAGAAGAAATAATAGCTCAGAAACATGAAAATTCCTCAGAAAACCTTTTCAGTTTAAAGATTTAATAGAACTATATCTCTGAACGTTGTAAAGATGGATGGGCCACACTAACTTATTCTTCACTTGCTAATGTGTTCTGTCATAGTGTATTGACCTTCTGCTGTCTCGGGTCAAGCCTTCACTGGGGACATTAATGAACATTATTGCCAAGATTGTCTGTATCCCCAGCAGTCTAGTTTTGAGGTCAGTGTTTATAAAGCAGGATAGCAGAAAGGGGAAAAAAATAATCATTTTTTCATCAGACAAACACGTCAGTAAGCATGAATAAATAGTGGTTAAACATTGGTCATTAGGAGAAGGTGAAATAGATGAATCAAAGAAGTTGAGAGTTTTAAGCTGCAAATTGTGAAGTTTACTATTTATTTATTATTTTATTTATTTATTATTTTATTTATTTATTTACTATTCATTTATTATATTATTTATTATTATATTATTGTCTTTCAAGTCTAGATGGAAAATGGAATATAATTGGGAATAGTTCTTTTTGCCCATATTGAGATTTCATGCCAATGTTGCAAAGAGTGTGGTCATGCAAATCTAACTACATGTAATGGTTCTGTTCTGTTTCATATAGTTCAAAGTATTTTGATTAAATAGCACTGGATAAATCATTTAAATTTTCATGTGTAGAACATGGGAAAAGTAGGATATATTTTATGAAATTTCTTATTTTTAGATTAGCTTAGAATTCTCTGCAACTGGATTTTTTTTCTCTCTGATCTTTCATATGAATCATAGCACTTGCCATTTTGGATACACCACTTCCATGCGCTTTTGATCGTGTCTGTGAATATTTTAAGCTCTCTTCAAATGTCACATATTACTGGGAACCTTGTCTAAGCAGAAACTGCCAATACCTATCTGGAAAAGAACGGAATGTTGTCAAACAAAATATTTATGTATTTATATTCTGTAAAGTTTCTGCTCAGATGCATCATCTACGTTGTGCTTTGCTTACAGGCATTTCATAAGCAGTAGTTTGAGGTTTACGCTTTACCAAATGCCTAATACAGAAAATACATTACACTTGTATTTGACAGAAAGGAATACGGCACAGGGTGTTTATTTTATCATTCCTTTGGCTCCATATGGTTGTAGAGTTGTGGATTGT